GGAGGGCGCGGGGGGTGGGGCAGGGCCCCCATCTCCTGTGCCCAAGGTGAGGAGGTGGCGGGCACAGGTGGGTGGAGAAGAGTGAGACTGTGGAGAAACTGCAAAGGAACAGGGCAGACAGAGATGCAGTCAGGGCCCCGCGCTCAGCCCTCGCTGTGCCCATGGCAGGGGCCTCCCAGAGCAGGCACAGATGTGCTGTGTGAGGGCCAGCAGGAGGGCCTGGGACCCGGGGGGAGAGAGAGCAGGGAGTTGTCAGGGTGAGAGGCCCAAGTGACCACAGCCTGAACCCCACAGACCAGCTCTGAAGCTGGGTCCAGACCCTAGTCCACCTCTTGCAGCAGCTCATCCCGTTTTGCGCAGAGAAGAATGCAATGCTGGTGCAGGGGTGGGGGGCACACCCTAGGTCCTTCCCCAGCGCTCCCGAAGGGCCACGCTGCTCAGTGACAGCAAGGACAGGGCCAGGCCTGCTTGTCAGCACCTCAGCTGGCTCCTAGGTAGGACCCCAATGCCCTGCGTGATGCATTCTCCGCATCACAGTCGCACACATCTAGGACCCGGGTCAGGGCTTGGGGATTAGCTCAGTGGTTCTGCTGCCTGCCTTGCAAGCACAAAGTCCTGAGATTGATCCCCAGTACCAAAAAAAAAAGGGAGCTGGGTTGGACTTGGCCACATGCACTGAGCACGGGGCGGCCTCTCGACCATGTGCCAGGCCCCCCTTGGCCAGGGCGCTGGATGGCAGGGCAAGCGCGAGCACTGTGGCAGGAAGCAGAGGGGCTCAGATCCCAGGTTCCAGCCCTCAAAAGTAATGAGAGCGCGGGCAGGTGGCTCCACCTATCTGCCTCAGTTTCCTGGCCTTTTATAAAACAGGAGTTTGTGCATTTATTCAACACCTGTTTACCCATCACCTGTTTTACATCACGCTCTGTTCTGGACAGAGGAGAGAAAGTGGTGAGCGAAAGACAGCAGTTCCTGCCTTCAACGAGCTCACGCGGAGAGGGGAACACAAGGGATGGCTACGAGTCAAGTGTATGGGCTGTCAGCTGCTGAGGGCCCTGGAGGAGAAGGAAGCAGGGAACGGTGACCATGACAACGCTAGTGTCACCGCAGGTGGGTGAGATGAGGATTCAGCGAGCACTTAAGAGAGCACGCGCCCGCTGCCCTTGCTGTCAACACCACCGCCTACAGCACAAGTCGGTCTACAGAAGGCAGCACAGCCCTTCTCCAAATACTTGTGTACAGGACAGGGTGATGGGTGCCTTCTCTTTTTCCTTAGGTCTTAATATTTTCCAAAGGAAAAAGACAACCACCTGGAATAAGAAAAGCAAGGCTGGGGCTGAGCAGTGGCACGCACACACCTGTAGTGCCTGCTACATGGGAGGCTGAGGCAGGAGAATCATTGGAGCCCAGGAATTAAGAGGCCAGTCTAGAGAATGTAAGACCTCATCTCAAATAAAACAAAGGAAAAAAATGGCCTGGGGGTGCTGCTCAGTGGTATAGCTCTTGTCTAACCTGCATAGCCCTTGGGCCTGATCCCCAGCACTGCCAAAAAGAAATACAACACAAACTCAAAGTCACCTAAAAACAACTATTAGGTTCCAGATACCTCTGGATCACTCTAAAGCCCAGGGCCGAAACTGGTGCTGGTAGTCATCCTGTTTTTATAAAGTTTTATTGGAACACTGCCCTGCTCATTTGTTTACTTATTCTCAACAGCCTCTAAATTTAAGAAAAATTTTGAAACAATTCTGTGGGTCCTGAGCACCCATCTCCTGTATCTAATGGAGAAATCGACTGACAGCTGTTAAAAATAAAAAGGCACAGGGGCCAGGGATTTAGCTCAGTGATGCTGCAGCCTGCCTTGCAAAGTGCAAGGTCCCGAGTTCAATCCCTGATACCAAAAAAATAAACTTAAAAAAAATTAAAAAGGCACAACCAGGAATGGTGGCACACACCTGTAATTCCAGCACTCAGGAGGCTGAGGCAGGAGGATCGCCATGAATTCAAGGTTAACCTGGGCTACATAGTGAGTTCAAGGCCAGCCTGAACTTTGCAAAGCCCTCTCAAAAACAACAAACAAAAAAAAAAAAATTTTTTTTTTTTTGGTACCAGGGATCGAACTCTGGTCCTTGTGCTTTCGAGGCAGGTGGCAGCACCACTGAGCTAAATCCCTGGCCCCTAACAAAAAAATGTTTAATAAAATAAAATGGCACAAAGTAAGTCTGACTTGACACATGGAGGTATACAAGCCATGTTCCTCAAGGAAAAGATAGTACAGGCCAAGGCAGCCACATCCAAGACACACAAACCCTCCTCTCCTCTCCACTACCCTTCCCAACCTGTACGGTCACACAGAAAGGGACTAAACCCACAAGAGTCCTGGGGATAAGTCGTATGTCTTGCTAAAAACGCAAATTCCCAGGTGGGCATGACAGTACACACCTATAATCTCAATGGAGGCTGAGGCAGGAGGACTACAAGTTTGAGCCCAGCCTGGGCAATTTAGCAAAACCCTGTCTCAAAATAAAAAATAAAATGTAACTCAGGGCAAAGGCCCATAGTTCAATCCCCAGGACCACACCAACAGGTAAAGCAAATGCAACTCCCCCACCGCACCGCACCTGACCCCACACACCTGCTGAATGAGACCCCTCGGGAGTGGGTCCAGTGATCTGCACATAAGCAGGTGATTATGACCCAGGCACAGACCCCAGTGTTACTGAGCATGCAGGGGATGGGGACAGATTCCCACTTGCATGATGCACATCAAAGAAATCATGTGGGCTTCACACACACACACACACACACACACACACCCTGCAGCTCGAGGCGCAGGCCCACCACTAGCACCTGGCTGCGTGACCTCGAGCAAGTTGACTTCCCACTCCCAGATACCACACTCCTCTGGGAGATGGGGACACTGAAGGTCCCCCTCCGGGGACATGAGTTCCTGGTGCAGTGACACTAACAGCCCTGGTCACCAAGTGCTCACTAACCTACGTGGCCTTTCGTGTCAGTGTCTATGCGCCCCTGCACACACATGGCTTTATAGCTGCCTAATTTAAAAGAAAAAAAGACTTTTGTCTAAATGATGCAATCACAATTACTATCATTAGTGAAATCAGCCACCTCTCACACCACTCCAAGGATATGTGCCCAGCTCCGCCAGCCCCACGTACCTGTTTTGCCCGTCCTCCAGGCCCTGAGACGGGGCAGCAGGCTGGGCACAGGTAGAGGGATAGGATCCCGGTCCCCAATTCGGACCTCGGCCACCAGCTCCAGTATGTCCTCGCTTCTGTAAGGTAAAAGGGGATGGGTGAGCCTCGGGGGGAGTGCAGCAGCTCTCAGGGTGGGGACAGCCTCCACTCCAACTCCCCAGTACTCACTCGCCAGGCCGCAGGTCCAGGTGGCTGGGAACCCAGGTATCCGGGGGGTCCAGGACGCTCACCAGCCCTGCAAGGAAGCTGTCGGCGGCCATGTCCAGCACCTGGAATGGACCAGCAAGGGCTCCATGCTGCGAGGACTTCTCCAGTTCCGATGCTCAGGAAACCACACACTGAGCCCCCTAGAAAACTCACGTCCAACTTCCTCCCTCCCTTAAGATCCACTGCCTGGCTCAGACCCCCAGCACCGTCCCCTTCAGGTCCAGTTCCGTTCCCTAAGGTCCTCCTCCTCCAGACCCAGGGGTGCAGCCAACCAGCCCCCTTACTCACAGTAGCTGTGTCAGCACCCCCCAACTCCTGGGGACGTGGCTCTGACCGTGGGCTCCGGCAGCGCCTCCACTGAAGGCCATGACACTGAGAGCCATCTGGAGAGAAAGATTTGCGTGGGGGAATTGAAGACAGAGAACAAGATGCAGAGACCTCATAGGGGACAGGAAAGAGGGGCCTGGTACACATCATGCTAGAAGGTGCCTCTGGACTTCCCAACACCCCTTTTAGGCTTCGATTCTCACTCTTTCATCCTTCTATCCACCTCAGGATGGAGTCCACACAACTCAGTATAGCATTCAAGGCCTGCTGTGACACGGTCCCCAAAGACTTGTCCTGCTTCTCCTAGGGGCCCACCACCCTGCACACAGCCCCAAAAGGCCCCACACTGTCCCTGAGCAATTCTCTGCTCCCCTGGCCAGAAGGCTTCTGCCCGTCAGCTAAGGCTGGTGCGTCCCTGAAGAGCCAGGTCACCTGTTGCCCCTCTAGGCAGCCACCTGCCAGACCCCTCCCTCCAGACTCGCTGGGAGAGCCTTCTGGCCTCTCACAGCACCTCAGGGCACGGGGACTACGACTGCATCTCCAACACACTGGACTGAGGGTCCCTGAAAGGCAGCCACGAGGCTGGACCTGCCTCTTCGGATCCCTGTGCCCACAGAAGGCATGAGAGAGGTAATAGTGAAGAATGCAGAAAAGGGGTAAGGAGCTGAAAGCAGCAGAACTCACCTTTATCATTCGGCAGATCCGCCTGCAGGGAGCTTCCCACTGCCTGCTGAATGGCCCGCTGGGGGAAAAGAATGGAAAGATCCAAGGGTCAGGTGTCTGCAGTAAAAGATCCTGGGCAACCTCTGCTCCTTGGGGGACAAGCATTCTGGACACCCCTGCGGCCAGACCAAGGCCTTGGGCTCTTCCCTTGTGGCCCAGGAGGCAGAGCCTGAAATCTGGACCCCAGCCCCTCCTCCTCCCTCAGCCTCAGGTGTCCAGCAACCTCACCAGGATAAAGGCAGAAGGAGAAAGCGTGGGGTCTCTGTCAGATGGACCATCGCCCCGGTCCTCGCCTGACTCCTCTGTCTTCCCTCGAGACTCATCTTCTTCCTCCATGGTTACCTGGGGGTGAGGGGACAGGTGGAGCAGGGGCGAGGGAGGAATGCAGGAGGCCGGGGGAGCAGAGCCTCCGACACCACCCAGTGGCACCCTCTGTAGCACCCCTCTTCTCCCACCTCATCCCAGGCCACCAGTCTCCGGGCCAGCGTGGACCACAGGGACTAAAGCAATTCTCTTCTCTTTTCTGGATTTCGGAGCCTCCTCTGTCAATGCGAGGCCACCTCCACCACCTATTTCCAAGCCTGCTCTCCAGTTCCCATTGCTCCCGACAGGCCTCACTCCTCTCCCTTATGGGACACGAACTCAACACTGGGATGTTTTTGTGTTCTGTTGTGATTTCACAGCCCCATAAACCCGCCTTGCCCAAACTGAGGCACATGCCAGTGTGCTGGATGGCATTCGATGCCAGGTACCACACAGCTGCATGGGGCATCGATCATTCTGGAGGATAAGGAACCAAAGTGTTCTTTATATACACAAGAGATGGAAGCATAAGAGTGATGTGCAGAGCCCCTACACCACTTCTAACACAAAAACACTAAATTTGAGAAAGATGTGCTGTTTCCCAAATCCCATGGGGCCTCCTGCCTGTCACTGAGCTGGCACCCAGTCAACCAGGTGACAGAGGGTGCCTCCAACGCCAGATGCCTGCAGTAGGACTTCAGAAATTAGCAACAGTACAGCCACAAGTTTCCACAACCGTCAGATTTGCTAATGAGAAAATAATACCTAATCTCAAAATTCCTTGAAAGCCTCAAAATCCCTAATCTACACCCACTGTGTTTCTGTGTAAATGGCGAAATCATATCAAACTAGAGAAGAGCTGTGAGGCTTAAAAGTCAGTTATTAGCACATCTGCAAGGCTCCACACACATTAATTCGCTGTATTATTAGTCCTCAATATCTTGTTGTTCTGTTGTGGTCTTGGTAAGAGGGATCGAACTCAGGACCTCTTGCTAACCAGGCAGGCACTGTGCTGCTGAGCAAAGTCCCCAGCCCTAGTCCTTCGTATCTCGGTCTCCCCTACATTTGTCTCCCCTAATTTCCCTGGGGCACATAATCGAAGAAAAGGACACAGCCCTGCGCTCTATCTTAGCACAGGGTTTTAGGCCTGCAACCAAGCTTCCACATTCACTTTCTGCCTCCCAGGTCTCTAGGTCTTCCGCCCTCTCCCCTAACTCCCTGCAGACACGCCCTAACCTAATGCTGGCTTCTCCACCCAATACTCAATACCCTCCAGGCTTGCAGGCAGCTCCCAGGCCCGGGGCTGCTCTTCAGCACCTCCGGAGATGTGCCTCCCTAGCACTGCGAATTGTCAAAACCTGACAACCTTGGGGACCCCCAAATCCTCTGTAGCACAGGAAGATGCTCTCAGCTCCTCAGCTTCTGTAGACACCACAAGGCTCTACTGACCCTGCCAGGTCCCTCTAGATGAGTGGTTCCCAAACTCCCTAGTCTGGGAGCAGTTTAGAGCTTCACAAATTGCTAGCTACAAAAACTACAGCGAACACAATCGTAAATTCTTCACAGTGCTTCACAAGGCGTAAGTGGAAATATCAATTTCTGGGACTCGAGTACTAGTTAAATACATATGTACGGGACGTCAATCAAAACTGTATTTCTTATTAGTGAACAAGGTCAAAAGAGTTGGAAAAGCACAGCACTGGGCGAATCTAAAAGACCCTATTCACCCTCTCAGACCTGGGTAGACATTCTTTCTCTCTAGCTCCAGGATGAGGCAGGATTTTAAACAATTTTCATATGGATTACTTTTCAGAAAGCAAGTACATTTGAGTTGGGCAAAATTTCCAACATTTTAAAAATATTATTTCCCACACATTTATCTGACCTAAAAAAGATTCGAATTTGCTCCAAGCATCCGCTCAACTACATCAAATCCACCTAGATGGTTCCAGGTTCTTCTAGCTGCCCCCCACTGTCACCCACATCGGACATTTCCCAAACCTTCCAGCCCTACCCACAGCTCTCGGTACAACACAGCATTTGACCCCCACCTGAGATAGGCATATTTCATCCCTCTAGGTGGCCCTGCAAGCCTTTTTAACCCTTGAAGAGTTCTTCCAGGCCCAAGAAACGGTTCCAGACCTGTGCAGACCAGCAGCATCCATAGGCCAGCCCAGGTAAACACTTCCCAGCCCTCGCAGACGTACCCCGGCACTCTAGGCGGCTCTGCAGACACTCCTCAGTTCTTGCACACCTCCTTCACCCCTGGGACACGGCTCAAGATCTCAAGATGGCCCCAAAATCATCTAAATAGAGCCTAGCCTCCGGTCGGCCCATAAAGACGATCCACAGCGCCTACTGACACGATCCAGGTCAGCTATGTGATGGAGGCCAGAACCTAGGCTCGGTCCAGGCCCTATGGACGCCCCCAGTCCGTTCGGGGACGGCCCGCAGACGCCCCCTGGAACCCACAGATGCGTTCCGGGGGCCTCAGAAGGCCCCCCCGTTTGGCGCCAGACTTCACCCCCACTGCCGGATCCGAGACTGGCCCGTTAAGCCCTCCAGGCCCCCTGGCGTGTGGGGGGTACCCAGGGACAACTAGCGACCCGACTCCGCCCCGCCCACCCTAATAGGCCCGAGCCCCGCGGCA